TTTTAAAATAATTATAATAAATTGATAAAAGATACTCTTTTTAAAAGATAAAAATTATATATTTAAAAATTATATGTTTTTCCTAATACTTGTGATATGCTATAGTTTTTTTAAAACTTTAAATAATAATATTATACTAAAAACAAATTAACTTTTTGAAGTGGTGTTACTAAAAAAATATCACTAATCTTGCAACCATTCCTCTCAAGGTCCAACACAAGGATTTTATGGCCAAATCCTAATGACTCACTAACATGTGTGTCGCTTGACTTTTAGGAGTTCCAACAAAAACTTTATAAATCCACAAATAGAATATTTAAGATTTAAACTTCTTTAGTTTCACTTGTTCCAAGCTATTTGACATTTTTGGATCCAAAGGTAGAGCAAGGTCATTTAATGATGTGACCTAAAAGCTAATTTGGCCTCACAAATGGTATTCAAACAACATTAAAATCCTTAGCACTCTCTTAACAACACAAAAAAATTGAAGTTCAAGAACAGAGTTTTTCTTTCTAATTATAAAATTTACAAGAATTAATCCCAATTTTTCTTACACAACATGTACAATAAGTACCAATTGATACATGGCATTGGATGAACATGGCATTGGATGAACATAAAATCTTAATGGCTCCTCTAACAAGAAAATTTTATCATATCCTTACCTTTTAACATGTCTAATTGTTTATAAATGATTTTGTGATTTTATTTAAAACCTCCATTGTAGAATTATTATAGGGACTCATAATAATTGGTTGCCCATCAGTAATCTGTTTAAAAAATTTGAGACAAGTACCCAACATTTGTGTAAACACGTATAGATTACGGCCTGGGTGCCTGTTCTGCAAAATCGCTATCTACCTCACTCTCAAGTCATGCACTGATCTCACACCTACTCTAAGTGACTCAGTTTGGGCACAAGTCCCACGCTCTTTCGATCCCTCCTTCCAAGTTTCAATTCGATATCATATTTTCCCAACCACGTTATCGATGCATTCTTTGCGCAGATTATTCCAAATGTCTCTAATACAGTTTATGGTTCCCTCAATTGAGACTATTTGTGGGCTTGTGTACCACCTATGTGTCTGAATATATACCAGTCCTCCTCAGCACTTCACAACTCTGCAAAGCTTCCGGTCTAGAAATTCAATCACTGTGGCATAACCGACAGATGGGACTTAACAATCGCACCATTGCAGCCCAGTCACATATCAAACGAATCCCAATGTGGACGGCTTCCGCCCACTTGTCTGCCATCCACGCCACTACGGTGCACAAACTCTGCATCCACCAACTCCATCTCCATGTGCCAAGTACCACATCACACAAACACGCGACAAAACAAACCGGGCTGTGGCATTCACGTACATACGCACCAATACAAAAGCTTGAATTGAGCCATCCGAGCCACTGTAATCAAACAGAGGTGCTTGACTGTTTTATTCCAGATACATGTCCCTGAATACGAGACTAAGTACCCAATCATTTAATCCTTTTACAATCGCTCTGCAGAACTCCCTACTTCCAAGGATTCCCCTCAAACGTTCTACCTGCTCGCGCTTCCAAGAATGAACACTCACGATACACTTACATTCCACATCTCCAACTTTGATTCCCAATCGATGAAGACAGCGAAATCCGCTTCACATAGACGGATGGCCGACCTATACTCGCACGCACATCTCGGACCGCGGAGCGACGCCATGTTCCCATCGATCACAGCGACTGTTGCCACCGATGCTGCGCTCAGCGTCGAGGTCCGCTACAATCTACCTACCTGAACTGGGATCCTTCCCAGGTCTGTCCGAACCTCCAGTACCCGCCCACGGCTTTGTAAGTCGTCAAAGTGCGCCCGTCGCCCGTCGTAATCTGGAAAGACAATGCTCCGCTCATCCTCGTTTTGCATGTCCACAGCGCGCCCCAGTTGCGCCACATGGGCACCCAATATCCGTTTCCTCCCCTGACCTTCACTGCCTTCAAATCGCCCGCCCCTCCCACGTTGTGAATCAGGATCATCAAGAAGTACGGGTTGCCTCCGATGGTGAACCGAATTCCGCCGCGCTTCGCGCACCGGACCTTCCTGTAATACACCGGAGCCACTCCTCCCTCACGCCGTGCCAGCGTCAGGAAAGCAGGCATTGGCAAGTCGAAGTGAGGTCTCCAGTTGCACCAACCTCCGTGCGACCCTGGAGGGCACGAGTTTGTTGCGGTCACGGTGATGGTGCGAGAGTAGCTCCAGCACCAGTTGTGCACGGTTCGGGTTGGCGTCACCCACTTGCACCGCAACTGATAGCACCCGCCGCATGCCTTTCCGCCCTGGAACAGAGGATAACTCAACGCTGCGGTCATCGCCCCGTATCCCATCGCAAAGGTGTTCGGATACCCGCAGGCGCCTCCCTGCGTGCCACCGCCACTAGCTGTTCCGTAGTACGTGATATGCGCCTCACTCCACCCGTACGGCGCTCCCACCACGCAAGGCAGGACGCTCAGCGCCATCAAGGCGGCCACGCCAGCGCAAGCTGCGGCCTTCATGCTGGATACTACGGCCGAAGTCCTCATGGCCACCTGGTCGTGCTAGTATGGGCAGAGATGGAAAGCTGTATCTGAGTGGGCTCGAAGTCTACAGGCTTGGTTTCTGTGGTGCGCACATCGGGAACTGATGATCAAGGCTGCTTGATTTAGATGGCCTGCAGTTGGAAGGAACTTAGGGAGATCACGGTATGCTACAACAGATGTAGCGAGAACGCAAGAAGCAAAGTGCTCAGCGGAGCATTTATACACCACCACATTTCTCCTGAAGGATGCGGGACTTCTACGATTTCTTACCCGTATTCGTGGAATAGTTCGTCCTTCTAATTACATCAAGTACAGGTGTGGTAGTACTGAGCGATTGCATACCGGTTAAAGCACATTGCCTTGTCCCCAATGCGAGGGCTGTCAGGCCTAGTCTAAGCAGAGCACACTGAGCTCTGAGCCGCAGGCTGATTTGTAGCCAACCGGCGCATTCGGCAAGTCACATCACATCCTGTATTAGAAACCCCGATTTCATTCTCGTCGCCATGTTGTCAAACCATATATGCCAACTGTGCGCATTCCATCCGACTCGCTGCAGCAGTCGTTCAGTTCGCAAACTTGGCGAAATCGAGGAGATCTCTACAGGCTCATGCCGCACAGATTATAAGCGGACGTGAGATTCAACTTCGCGAGGTTCGAGTAGAATGCAAAGAGGGGTTGCGGATGCAGCGACAATGCAAGTTAGTTTACCGCCACCTTCAGAATTTGCAGATTCTTCATGTCTGTCGGACGCCGCAGATGAAGATTCTTTGCTCGGCGGCTGCATACCAGGACTTGCAAAATGGCATGCTTGCATCGCCAAGCTTGTCAGACTTCACATGTACCCAAATGTCAATATACGGCAGACCCGTCGCAATGAGGCTCCGGCGAGCTCTTCCGCCTTGGTGCTAAGAGTCCTCGTGAGCTTGTAAGCTTCACGCATTGCAATCTAAAATAAGTTTTGTGTCCAATCCAGAATTGAGCAGCAACATTTGTATGCGAATATCACAGTTTGTGGAAAGAAAGCAAGCACCAAAGGTTTTGCAAGAATAGATTGGAACCTTAGCTAGGAAAACCTGTGAACATATGAAATTAGGTTATGATATGAAATATAGCTTCTTTCAAGTAACTAGCTAGTATAAGTTGTTATTTCAAAATTCTTAATGCATACTTCAAGTATATGTAGATAGATTACTTGTATTCATCAGCTTTGAATCCTAGGTTTAATCTAGCCAAACTAGTAGACATGAAGATATCAATTTAAATAATATTGAAGACAATACCAAATGAATTTCTAAGTAATATACACGAATTAGCATAGAGCTTTGGAATGGTACTTGGGAGGCATAGATGCAATGCTAACAGTGTCAACTAAAATTTATGTATTGCTCTCAAAATCAAAGTAGCATTCAATCTCACAATTAAAGCCATCAATCTCATTATAAGTGACATGTCACTAATCAAAATTGACTATAATAATCTACCAATTAAATATAGATATTGTTTGCCAATGACTATCAAAGTTATGAATGTTTTATAACTAAAAGATCAAAATATTCTTGTATCATTCAAAAAGATTAAATTATCACTCAAAGATGATATAATATTAAACTATAATGGCTATTATCAAAGACAAGAAGATTAAAAAGTCTTGAAACAAAACTAAAGACTAAAATGGCATTCACAAGAATGAAAAAGGCTTCATTCTTATTTCAATATATATATATATATATATATATATATATATATATCAAAGACATGAACTCCAATGAAAGATAATCTCAATACACTCTTCTGTCACTCAAAAATACTTAGAAATCACTCAAAGGTGATAATATATTGAATTAGAATGGCTATTGCCAAAGACTAGAAAACATGACGACTCTTGAAACTAGACTAAAAATAAGAAAGGAGTTGACAAGAATGAAGAAGGCTTCACTCTTGTCTCTATATATACTATCTAACTAGAGGCTATATGGCGATGTTCTACAAGACCTCTTATATGTGTCGACTTTGTAAGATACTTGCCTTGACTTACAAGGCAAGTTTTTCTACGTGTGGGCCACATTATTAGCTTGGTCTTTAAGCTAACAACATGTGCTGCAAATGGCCAACTTGTTGACTATGTTTCTAATCCAAAAAGTCAATTAAAGACACTTGTGAAGTCAAAGTAGTGTCTTTGAAGCTTCTAAGAAGCTTTCATATCAAATACTATAGAATTAACTTACTTTTATCTATTTTTATTTACTTCTATTTATTTATATATGTAATTACTAGCTTACATGAGTATGTCCGTGACATTACCCCTCCTTCTATGGACGAGTTCCACAAAGAGCAGTCATCATATGTTGAGGAAATCTATGATGCAACGAATTGTATTCGCCACATACTCTGATCTTTGATCTCTTCGAAGATGATTTATAGGGCCTCTCAACCATCGGTAGTATCCCATACCACGGTGGGAAGACCACCTAGTTATTTGATCGTTGTTGAGGCCTTTATAACTTCCTTCGAATAAAATATTTGAAAACCATCAGGAGTTCTTCATACCTCTAATAAAATCACCAAACATCGGGAGTCCCTTTTAAGGTCGTGATACCAAACGCGTTGTATCTCGCCTTCTATTCCAAGAAGGACATGTCGTTCTTGAAGATCTTCATCTCGATTATGTCGTCTTGTAGATTGTAACAATCGTAATGTCTCGTCCGATAGGGCCGCAAATAAAGGCTCTTGAGTCAAATCCATTGTTTGTTGGTTCTCCATCTCCTTAGCATCACAACTACAAAAAGCTACAAAGAAGGATTGAAAATAGAATGTTATCTTGTCTAGATCTTATTTCTTTTATAAAGAAGATTTTTATCTTAGTTTTGATGGATGTCATCGATGAAAAGCCTCTACTGCCTTTGCTACATTTACAAGATTCTTTATTGGCTCCCATGTGCATTCACTAATATCATATCTATGCCAATGGATAAGATATTCCAATTTATTTCGTTGCCGCCTTGAATCCAAGACTTCTTTCACTTTAAATTCTTTATTACTGTTCACTTCTATAGGAGGAGTAGGAGCTTGTCTTCTTCTTGGTATGTCCACTATCTTGTATGGTTCAAGAAGAGATATATAGAATACTGGATGGATTTTCATTGACTCCGGTAGATGTATACGATATGCAATTAGATTGATTTGTACAAAAATAGAAAATGGTCCAAGCCTTTGATAGTCTAACTTGTCACAATGATGAATGATCTTGATATTGTAACAAAGTAATCATACCTTATCACCCATGTAGAATGGTGGTTGTTCTTTTCGATAAACATCTGCATTTATCTTTTGTCGTTCTTGAGCTTCTTTTAATTGCGCCTTTATTGTTGCATGTAACTCTGACAACCGATTTGTCATATCTTTTGTCACAGGATTATCAACTTTTGAAAAATCAAACATGTCAAGTCATGGATGATAACCATAATTGGTAAAAAAAAGTATTTGTTGCATAGAAAAATACACCGTATTATTATAAGCAAACTCTGCCAATGGCAAAAGAGTTGTCCAATCATCTTATTGATAGTTGATGGTACATCTTAAGTATTGCTTCAAGACTTGGTTTACGCGCTGTTTGTCCGTTAGTTTGAGGATGAAAAGCCGAAAATAGTTTTATATCGACTTGTAAAATCTTAAAAAGGGTTCTCCAAAATCTTGATACAAACTGAGTTCTCCTATCTGATATAATATTCTTTGGTAACTCGTGATAGCGATAGATATTGTCAATAAAAAGCTTAGCACTTTCTTCACCCGTGATGGATTTTGTACTTAGCACAAAATGTGCCATCTTGGTGAAGCAATCTACTATTACAAATATAGAGTCATAAGAACCTGAGCTTCGAAGATCTATGATGAAGTCCATAGAAACAGAAGACCATGGTTGTTCTAGAATGGGTAATGGCTGAAGAAGTCCAAAAGGTCGATGATGAGGAGTTTTTGATCTTGAGCAAACATCACATGATTGTACAAAATCTTTGAGTGCCTTCCACATTTGAGGCCATCAAAAATCCCTAGATATCAGCTCCAAAGTCTTATTGTACCCAAAATATCTTGTTGCTGAAAAGTCGTGACGAGCTTGAAGAACATGTAACCATGCTTCTGCTTTTAGAACATATAGGCATCCTTCAAAATAGAATAGGTTGTTCTTGAACTCAAATTCAAAGGGATCATGAGATTTAGAAGAATTATTCTTGATATCATGAACAAGAGGATTTGAAGACATACTTAACTGGACTTGCTTAAGAAAAGTTAAATCAACAGTCAATGTTGATTTTATTGCTCGAAGATGAAATTGCTCCGGCTTCAAAAAAACCGTTCTTTGTTGCTGAAAAGCTACATCTTCTTCTTTTGGTGCAAGATAAGAATGTGTAGACAAGGCATCAGACAAACCTTGTTATTTTTGTGGTCGATAAGTGATGATGAACTCGAATCTTGATAAAGACATGCTCCAACGAGCTTGACAATGATTTAATATGTGAATTGAGATGAAATACTCGAGGTTCTTATGATCCATATATACGATGATTGGACTTGAGGCGCCTTCTAGATAATGATGCCATTCTTGAAATGAATCCACAATTGCAAGAAGCTCTTTATCGTGGATTTCATAGTTAATCTCGACTACTGAAAATTTCTTGGAATGGAAAGCTATTGGATGGAGCTTGTCATCTGCTCCCATTTGTGACAAAACGGCATCCAAGGCAGAGTTTGATGCATCTGTTTCCATAAAAAATGCCTTATAAAAGTTGACACAATACAAGATTGGTGCAGAAGTAAATTCCTTCTTTAAAGCATCAAACGCTATTTCAGCTTCTTTACTCTACTTAAATTTGTCTTTACAAGTCAAACACGTAAGTGGAGCTACAACTTGAAAAAAGTTCTTGATGAAGATTCGATAGTAATTTACAAAGCCCAAAAAGGATTGCACATCTCGTACTGTTCTTTGAATCTTCCAATCTATGATAGTTTTGTAATCCATCATTAGGCCTTCGTTGGAAATGATGTATCCTAAAAAGTCAACTTGAGTAGTGTGGAATATATATTTTTCTAACTTGGCATATAATCTTGCATCTCTTAATTTTTGTAATACATGACAAACATGGAGTTCATGTTCTTTTATGTTCTTAGAGTAGATTAGAATGTCATCTAAATAACAAATGATAAAATCATCTAAAAACTCACAAAAAATATCATTCATAAGATGTTGAAAAGCAACTGGTGTGTTTGTGAGTCTAAAAGGCATGACATTATATTCAAAATGTCTATACGTAGTTCAAAAAGTAGTCTTCTATTCATCTCCTTCTTTGATGTGGACCAAGTTGTATGCTCATCATAGATCTATTTTTGTGTAGATCTTTGCTTGATTGAGTTAATCAAGAAGTCCTGAAATCAAAGGTAAAGGATACCTGTTTTTTATGGTAATCTTGTTAAGGCCTTGATAGTCTATACACATCCGTAGAGATCCATCTTTTTTCTTTACAAATAAGATTGACGCTCCTCGTGGAGATTTTGAATGGTGTATGAAGTTTTTAGCCAAGTTCTCGTTAATATATTCGTTTAGTGCTGCCAACTCATTTTACAATAAGCTATACATTGGTCCAAATGGCGGTTGAGCTCCTTCTTGAAGATCAATTGAACAATCATAAGGTCGATGTTCTGAAAGAATATTTACATTTTTCTTCTCAAAAACATCTTGGAATTTTTGATATTAACTAGGAATACTACTTGACATCTTTTTACTATCTGAAATGGGTGTGGCATATATAGCAAAAGATGACCCTTCTCTGGCTGCATGCATGAAAGCTCTTGCCCCTACTAGTAAGGACTTAGATGCACTAGACTTATGTATTTTTTCTTGATTAATAGAATTTCGAAATAAAATACTAAGAAAGTTAAGATTACGGGAAATCCAATCTATCTGAGGATTGCACTTTTCTAACTAAGATAGTGCTAAAATGATTGGATTCAAAAGAGATCGTATCACATTAAATATTACTACACTATTATGATCTTTAATTACTACATCTAAAGGAACAGTCTCATGGATAACATCACCAAAAAATAACGAACGACCATCTATAACTTCCACATGCACGGGTTTGATTTTCTTCACTAATGATATTTCTTATTTTTTGATAAAGTCTTCGTCTAGGAAACAAGTTGAGGCTCCTGAATCTAATAATGCAAAGACTTCATGATTTTTGGGTCCTAAATACATATCTATTGTAAAACAAGGTGAGGGATCTTAGAAGAGAATAGGACCTTGACTAGGTGTTGCACATGATTCAAGTCGCACGGT